CAAACTCACTTTTCTTTTAAAAGATTTTTTTTAAAAAAATAATATTAGAAATTACTCACTGATAAAATCAAATATATCAGAAACATAAACCAGATTTAGAATGTTAAAATCTACTTTGTAGTTCTATTTACAAAGAATATATCCATATCAAGTTTCTAAGGTAAATGAGACATATAATTTCCTATTTGTAATTTACAGTATTACTTCAGGTTATTACAAATACATATCCACACTGAAGAACTCTTAATAGACATGTATATGTTTATATACATATTTATATGTTTACCTCTCTCCTTCCTCTCTATTGCTTTGAATTCTTTGGAAGAAAAATGAACATTAAATGAATTGGGTTTCAGTTTGGAATGAATCAGACAAAAAAGAAAAAAAAACAACTTTCCTCCAAAATCCTAAAGTTGTGGTACAATTGTTAACTTTTTATTTGGTTAGAAAAACATTAAGGGGCAAATGTTCAAAGTGGAGTGTAGTCAGCTGAACTTCCATTCATGCTAATGGGAGGCAGTTGGCTAAGTTCCCTGGACAATGCTTTGAACATACCCCCAGAATTTTTAAAAAAAACATTGCAAAGCACATTAAAACATGAAATATTTTTAGGTTCTCCATTCCTTTTAAACACAACCAAGAAAAAAAAATCATGTGAAAGCAAGCAGTCTTTTTTTTTTATTATTTTCTTTTAAAAACATGCAAGACGGATATGGGCATTATTTAATAATGTTTCTGGTTGCAAAGCCCTTGAATGTTGGAGAGTTAGAAGCCTACAAAAACACCCCCAAAATCATCTGGTGCTGGGTACAGCCATTGTGGTATATATGGAAGAGTTCAAAAAAGAATGAATTCTTTCAGTCCAATATTTAACAACAAATATGATTTTTCTTTTAAACAGAGAGTGAGATTTTGATGGACTTTTTGGTTGACAAATAATATATAGTTTTAGATTATGTGGCTTACAGATATTAGTACATAGCTTAAAAATGACCACCTAAATGTGAGTAAATTGGTAGAGGGATGAAGGAACAGAGTAAGCCCACCTTGACTGCAGTAGATTTAATCAGCTGTAAACTCAAACAACTTTGTTGTTTAATCAGATATTGCCTTCAGATACTAACAGAAGCAGAGAGTCTGGAACAAAGATAGTACCTGCCAGGTGTTCCCTTCAGTGATCAGATGATATCTAATGTATGATATTCTGTCACTGATGCTATATAAGGGTGAAGGGTGTTGACAACCTCAAACATATCCGGGGGAATGTGACCAGAACGATAGAGTCTAGAATGGTTTAAGGGGCTTCAGATGTTTACTTGGAGGAAAAAGACTTGGGAATTGTGTCTAAGTTGCCTGATCACATTTTTAAGATTTTTACTTGTAAGAGGGTGAGACTTATTTTGTTTCATTTTAAGGAATATAAGTAGAAGCCATCGGTAAAGGAAGATAACAGCTCACTTGCACAGAGCTCTCCAAAATAAAAAACAAATGGTTTTTAAACAAATGAGCTTCTTATCATAGGAAGTAAATAAAATTAAGGTGTATAAGAACTTTTCACGTTTGCAAGGAAGTTAGACAGCAATAGTGTTTCCTAATTTCAGTTGATTTTCAGACTTGTACATATGTGTATTATAGTATTACCATTATTTTAATACAGATCCTTTGAGCCATGCCCCATGTTAAATTAATCAGCATCGCCAAGGAGATGCATCTATGGTGGATAAAAAGTGCTTAGGTAAATTTTAAGACTGCCTAGATAAATACAGCCAGGAAGGTCTAGAAATGTAATTTTCATATCTGTTAAGACTGTCAAGTATGGTGATTCTAGAGTTCAAATCATTGAACAAAATTTAGATATATTTGCATAAGTTATCCATAAAATTTTGGTTACACCTGCAAGATGGATCAGTCCAGATTTTCTTTTTTTTTTTTAGAGATTTTTCAATCACTTGATAAATTAAGGGCTTACCTTATACTGTGTTGGCCCGAGGAGGAAGAAACGGTTATGAACAATAATCATGGATCTTTCTTTCACAGAGTAGAGCTTATGAACCCCCACCAAGTTGAGCTTATGAATAAATAAATAAATAAATAAGCAATTTCAACTCATAAAACTAGTTGTGTTATTACAACTCTACCATTAGAGTTATGCAATCTAGAGTGAGGTTTTTCAGCTTTCAGTTCTATAGTTTTACCTTCCTCAAAATAGGGGTAGTAAAAACACACACTGTTTAGTGTATTGAATCAATTAAAAGTGTTCATAATGTGTTTAACATAATGCCTGGCACATGGTAATTAATTGATAACCGTTAGCTATCATGAGCGTGATCTTGATCATCATCAAATGTTTAAACATCCAGAGGGAGTGCTTCAGAGGAAGATCACAATTTACCAGGGATGATATCTATTATGATTTGCATCTAAACTTTCAATGTGGGAACCAACAAGGTCCCTAAAGTCAAATGAAGATGTGTCAGAAATTTAAAAATGAAAGACAGACTGGGGATGGGGGTGGGGAGAGGAAGAGATAGACATCATGGAAACAGGATATATCAGTAAAAATGTGTGAGAGTATCTTTACCCATGGAAATAAATGACAGTGTCTTCAAAATACTTGGGTATCTTCTCAAGTCCAACTAAAATACTGCTATAGTAATTTGCTTTACCAGTCTGTTCTGCTCAGAAAACATGTGTATATGTTAGATATTCTTTCATCAGAAGTAATGCATTTAACATACTTGATTGTGTCCCGACAAGTAGTTTTGATCAAGCTAAAATTATTCATCTATATCATGGACTCTCGAGAATTTTTTTTCAATTTATAGGATTAATGTTAATTCTTTTAGGAAGAAAATATTTTTTAAATTTATATTCATGGATTACCCTCCTTGCACTTAACCTTACTTTCCCTTTTATACCTAGTTGGTAAATATATTTCTGTGCATCTGGAATATGAGTGGATTATTTTAATAACATTCTAGCAATAGTATGTATAAATTGAAAAATCCTTTAACAAACAAACTGTAAATAATCTTTCTCCTTCACTGTCTTGTCCTTCGTTATTTTTTCAAAACTAAGCAAGCAAGTTCACTTTCATTTCTGAAAGCTCTTTTGTCAGACATGTGACTGTGGTTTTTGCCGTGTAGCACAGTGTTTGATTGATTGTCAGACGAAAATCACCCAGATTAAGTTAGAAGGGCTAGTTTGACACAGTAATGACATTAACAGCCCTCTTGTTGGTTTGAGATACATAACTCAGCAATCACTGGTACCAGTCATTATATTTTGGCCAAAGTGTAATGCGTAGAGTGAGCCAAAATTAAAATGGCATAGTCCTTGAGGATTTATGGATTAATAAAATATGCAAATCATATATGTCTAGATATAGATATGTAGATCTCTCTCTATCTCTCTGCCTTTTTCTCTCTCTCCCTCTCTCTATGTGTGTATGTGTGTTTAACAAGTTTAAAGCAGATTATATATATTTATATAAGGAACTTGTTTTAAGAAAACACAGATATAAGCATCTTGCCAATCAGTGAAGCCCTACCTAAGACTTGAAATTTGTTTTTAAGGCTTTCTTTTATATGGTTAATTGATCCTTTCTTGAGTTACAGAGTAACTTCTCTACCATTGTGACCTACAAGATTTATTCACATATTTTCTACTATTATTTGAAAATAAGTTGTCATAGAAAGTAAGATATAAGCAAGCATGGGTGTTGTAAGACTGCATCAGAGGTTATATGTAGTAGCCTGGAATCTTTATGTAAAAACAAATGGGAAAAGGTATGTGTTGTAATCGTTGATGATTCTGTTCTTATTATCATAACTTAAAAAGATAAGAAAGCTGGATGTGAATATGTATATTGCTGCTGTATTCTAGTTCAGATATCCAAATATATCATAATAGTGTTACAAACTCTGCCATGCAACATTTTCCTTTTTCATTTTCCCCAGCTCCTTCCCTTTGTCATAATTTTCTCTGTGCTTCTCAGTAATGCATGTGATTACTGTTTTTTTTTCTTGTTTAAATAGCTTGTCTACTATGATTGGGATACTTTCTATTGAAAACTCACATTATATAAATTCTACTTACTGCTTCTTTTACAGGCTAATAACTTTAGAGAAATTTGTGCTTGTTGGTAATATTGCATTGAATTGTTTTCCATAGAGATTTAATAATATGAAATGCAAATTTTTTAGATACAAATGATAATGCAGCTTTTCTTCTTATATAATATGTTATATCTTTAATTATATGATATTTTTGCTAATATTTGCATGCTTATCTATGCTTCTATTATTTGGTAATGGCCCATGTTTTAGAATCCTACATTTGTTTTACATGTCACTTGTCTGTTTTAAATTCACTATATCATATATAAATCATAAAGTTTTAAGTATGTATATATTTCTCACATTCTCAGAGCTATTTCTTCATGACTACAGGATACAAAAAGCATTCAGAGGGCCAACATTTTCTAGAATGAATCGGATCCAAAATACCTTTACAAAACAATCTATTATCAGCAATGATTTCCAACAAAAACTCCCAGAGCATGAGTCCAACTTAAGAAGTTTAAAAAAATGCATTTGTTTTATTTTGTTTAGAAAGATGAAGACTATCTTTAAACTTAATACCATATTTTAACCACTCTTATAAGCATATGAATTGGTCATTAATTGTGACTAAATATTCCAAATTCATTTAAAAATCATGATTATAAAAAGAATACTCAAGTAATTGACATGTTTGAATATATTTTATGTGGCCAAGTATGTGGGTTTTTCTGATCTCTTACAGTATAACAAACTGGAAGAATCTCTCAAATAATTATTTTTCAGTCATTGTTTTAAGTACTTAGAATGTATTTATAGACCACCCAATAGAGACAAACAATGAATAGTTAACCAAATTTAGTAAAGAAGACTTAACAAAAGTAAGAGAACAAAAGTGAGAATGTGTAAATGTAATATTTGTTGTTTTATATATTCCAGATTCAGAACAATTTGTGGGCAGGAAATGCAAGTGGTGGTTCTGTGGTTACTTCATGCATGTTACCACGTGACACTTCCTCCTGTATGACACCTTATTCTCACTCGCCTCGGACAGATTCCAGTTACACAGGGTTTTCTAACCACCAGAACCAGTTCAGCCACGTGCCCCTCAACAATTTTTTCACTGACTCTCTTCTTTCTGGGGCTACCAATGGACATGCATTTGAAACAAAGCCAGAGTTTGAAAGGAGGTCTTCCAGTATCGCAGTTCTTCGAATGAAAGCCAAGGAGCACACCGCCAATATTTCATGGGCAATGTAACATACAGTACTCTTTTATTTTTCTTTTAATAGCAAAGTAAAACATTCTTATTTTTCATATTTAAAGGATACCACAATAAGCTGCTGTGTGTGGAATTGCTAAAGGTCAAGATATTCAGTAAGACCAGCTTAAATGAATAGTTGTTATTTAACATTAAAATCTAAGAATGAACCTCTGAAAAGACGAAATAGGTTTACCATGCACCAGTCTCCACAAAACTCTGTTTTACTAGTAAGATTTTTTTTCTATCGTACAAGTCAATGAAATATGATCATGCAACTTCTTAAAAGAATAAATGTATTAAACAAATTCCTCTGTTATAGATTGATTTATGTTACTTCTGTATAACAAGAAATCCCTTGTAAAATAATACTTGATAAAGGAAGAAATGCACTGGGGAAAATGTCAAGATACCAAAGCTGTCAGGTAAATATTGAACCAGGGTGTTTTGGGGAGTTAAACTGCCCTTTCTGGCTCCAAGAAGCAATGGGCATATCCTTTGTTGCTGAGAATTTATTTTCAAGCCTCAAAAGATTTTTTTTTTTTTTTACCTCTAGATCTTTTAGTGAATTTCCACTCTGTGAGAAAAGAGTTCTTGTAAAATGACCAGCGTTTACGTGAAATATTTGGGAATAGTTTCCTGACATAATGTGGCTAAAGGAGATAATTGAAATATTCCAGTGTGATCTAAACTATAGTCATGAGAACACTTTTAATAAATGCCATCTTTTTATCAAAAAGCCAGTATGGACTCAGTGACTTAGTTATCGCAAATGAGAAAAACGTTAAAAAACTTTTTGTTACTTTTAAAGTATTGATTAAACTGTACACACAAACATTTAATAAATACTACACTAAAATTAACATTTTCAGTTAAAGGAGCAGTGAATAGGAATTCATTTTGAGGGTTATGAGCATGCTCACATGTGTAAGTGTTTGCTTTTTGACATATTTTGTCTTAAGCATTTTTTTTGCTACTGTGGTTTTGCATAGAGAATTAAAATGTCAGAAGGCTTTCTAAAATTTCTGGTGGAAAAGAAGAGAAGAAAAATACATTGCATCTGGAAAATTGCTGACCCCTTTGATTTACTTCTCCTCCCTCTCCCCTGTCACATTCCAAGCTTTTTCAGATGAGTGAAATGTCAACCTCCTTGAAAGATTCTTAAGTTCATAAGGCAAAGTAAATTAATTGAAATGAAGATGACTTCTATGGCTAGGATCAGAGTAGGATCTCCTCTTTGTACTCTCTTAGAATCTTCTTGTAGCTCCCACAAACTTTAGGAATATGGTTTAGGAATATGTAGTCCTAATGGCTACAGGACAAGAATAAATGAATTTTTAAAATTATATTTTATAAAAAGTACTTAAATCCAGTGTCTCTTCTTAGGGGGAAAATATTTACAGCAATTACACACATTTTTTGTAATAAAATTTTAAATTAAGCAGATGATGGAAATGAGTGATGTCCTAAACAAACATTCCTTGACTTCTTAATAACTTTGTTCTTTATTGCCTTTGTGTTCTCTCTTTTTAGTTTTATTCCCAAGAAAAACTTGTTCAACTTTGGCCATGAGAAGTATGCTTACATGCAGGAGCTTTTGTGAAAAGATTGTTTAGGCAGCTGTTAAATATCCTTTATGTTTTAGAAGAGAAAAACTTCTTTTGACATATTCATATAGCGGTTAATAAGAATTTGTGAACTAAAACTTAGAACAAAAATGTAAGATTTTATTTTTAAAAATTTCACAAATTAATAGTGTTCATTTTCGTTTTATTCTGCTTTCTTAAATTTTAAGTGTGCCATAGCTAATATCTTGTATTTTCCAAATAAGAGACAAAACTCATAAAGTTTGAATTTCATTTTCATTCCTTTCTTTTTCTACTCTAGGTTTTTCTCATCATATTTAATCATTAATTGGAGCTTCTGGAACTCAAAAGTGTTTTATTTTTCCTCCAATTCAAACAACATCTTTCTAATAGAGGTTTTACATTTATAATGCTGTGTAAATGTAATTCAATTAGCACATTTTTAAACACCTCTAGTGGGTGAAGTACTATTTGGGATAATAAAATAAATGATGGAACCATAGTTCTTGTCCTTCATGAATTCACAGTCTTCCTGGACAGACACGTGCTTAAAGTTCTAACCCTCAACCATGCCTTATGTTATATGATGGCAGTAAGAATTTAAAGAATTTTATGTGTGTTAAAAACCTAACTTTCCTTCTTATTAGTTGAAATTTCTATTTACGTATTCAAATTGCCAATATAATAAAATGAACTTTTGCTATGGTAGGCTAAGATAAAGCTAAAACAGTACATAAAATGCATTTCCTAAATTTTCTCTTGCTCTTTCTGAATTTAGGTTAAATAGAGTTTCAGGTGCTAGAGTTGATATTACAAAAATGTTTAAGTTCTCTACTTAAGAGGGAAAAAAAAACACTTAGGGGAATTTTATTCACTTTTATTTGGCCTCACTATTGACAATATTGATTATTGGGAGTTTTGGTAAATTAAGTAATTTGATCCACATGGACATTTGTTCTGGTGACTGTCACATCCCCTGTTTGCCTTTTCCACACATTTTTCTTGCACAGATTGTTGAAAATCTTTACAATTTTTTTCCTGAGCCATGTTGTTAAGGCTCAAAGCTCATGGCATAACAGATACATTTATGGGAGAATTAGGTAAGATTTGCAGTTTCTTAAGCATAAAATGAAATTTAAGAAAATGTTTTATAGGTTTTTGAAGGTTTCTTATGTATTTCTCATGATTATTAAATAGTGAGTATTTTCTTCTTATGTAACATCTAATAAAAATAGAAAAATAAAGCCCCTGCAATCTTTGCCCTCAGTCCTGACAGCATATCTCAAAAGAATAACAGAGTTACTTAACCTATATAACCTTGAGGAAACTCATGAAATTGTGTGTATAAATTATGGAAATGTATTAGTTTTATTGTTTCATCTGACTGTTGATTCTTCTACCTTTAAGGGAGGGATAAGAGGCAGATAATTGCACGTAATATAGTTCTCACAAAGATGATATGTTATTGTTTCCTTTTTTTGTGTCTTTATTTTCTCATCTCAAACACTGGGTGCTGGTTTTGACTTCCATAGTACAATTCATACATAACCTGCATGTGTTTTATGTAATGCTCTTTTATATATAATGCTACAGCATTAGTTTATCAGCAACTAAAAAATCTCTTGGATAAAATAAGTGAAAAAACCACTTAGGATGTTTGCATAGCTGTTTGAAATTTCAATTTTCTAAATTTATCAGTACCTTGACATTTAATTCAAATAGTATTGTATATAATAAGTTGTTATGTTAGATTTTTTTATTAAAATAATTACCACTTATGCTACCAAATATTTTAAGAGAAAGATAGAAATGTGCTTAGTTTTAAAATCCCAGTTGAGCTGACTTCTTTCTTTGATTAGAATATAAATTTATATCTTTATTATTTAAAACAATTGTTCTCTTTAACCAGTCTCTACTTTGAGAAATTAGGCATTTAAAATTTCACAGTCATCATTTCTTTATAGCTATTCATCTTTTGCTTTGAATAAAAAGTATAACTTTCTACAAAGGAACTTTTTTCTTAAAATGGTATATTAAATAATATTTCTGTTCTTAGCCTGTAAGTCATATTATACACATTTTATACCAGCCAGAGAGTAGTATCACTGATGATCCAAGTAAAAATGAAGTCAGAAGTGAAGTGCCTAGCAATGCAGCCCTATTTATGGCACAAAACCTCAAAAACTGATTAAATGTATTTTATAGGGTATAGTAAATGCTAAAACAGGATTTGTATGTTTCAATTATCTCTCCTTTTAAATAAACTTATTGCCATCATTTATCCTAGAAATCTATTGCAAAAGTGGTGAACAAGGCTTCAAGATAAGGGCTAGTTAATTCTTCAGTTTTACTGAATAAAATAGTAAGACATTGAACGAAGCTTTTTTTATTCCTTCTTAGCTTTAGAATTGTGTATCACTATGCATTTTCCAAGTCCAAGGGGCTTCACTGGGAAATTTCATCATGGCACTGTTTTATAGCATATCTTTGACTTTATAATTTGAGACATTACATAGTGAAGTTTTTCATATGTCTTCGCATGGTATATATGTGTAATATTTCCTCTTACCTATTTACATTGAGATACACTTTAAAGACTAAAGAGAATAATCCAGAACAATGTCCAGCATTGTCAAAACATGGTAGATTTTCAGTAGAAAGCAAAAGGGTCCCCCTACAGGCTACTTATACAGACATGAAAAGATCCAAATTCTCAAAATCTCCCCCTATCACTAGAGCAAGGTTCATAGCTTAGGGTGGAATCAACAGGGGCAGATGTATCTCTGCATAGCATTCAGAGTTTCTATGAACCAAGATAGGAAAATAATTAAATCTTTATTTTCACTAATCCATAAAAGAAATACAGCATTTTCTTTCATTTATGAATATGGAAAATAAATCACAGGTATTAGCAATACCTGTGACTTTGTCACCAATAGAAAAAACAGATATTTTCATCTTGCATGGAATTAATTCATCTTACTTGGAATTATTAGAGTTATTGTAGATATCTTGGAAAAATTAGAATTCATCATTTGATTAGTGCAATTTCCACACTGCTTCAAACTTGAGGTAGTTTTTAGTTCTGTTGCTGGATCTTGCTAATTTATCTATAAAGATGCACAGATACTACTACATCCCAGGTTAGCGTTGTAATTATTTCGATGCCTGTATTTCAATATAATTGGTTTTCTTCTTAAGCCTGTGCATTTTATTTTATTTATTTAAAATCATTATCTAAGAATGAATTCACAATCTTCACTAAACTGCCAAAGGGGTCCGTGGCATTAAGAAACCCTGCACGAGGGTCATGTCTCCAAATTAATTTTTTTTTTTACCGTGGAGGGTCATCCTATGTTACAGAATAGGTAAAATATTATATATAATAATTTATCAGCTTATTTCTCATTTGCAGAATGTAAGGTTTAAAGAGAATGAGACTTTTAAAGCAGGCAGCTCCAGTGCACTCATTTGCATGAATGAGTGAGGCATTTTAGTGAGTATCTCTGAGGACCCAGGATGCAGTAGATGGGGATTAGGTATTCAGGAAGAGGAGAAATGGTTTGGAAAACATCATGGAAGGAGTGTGGCTTTAGGACCCTAGTTATACCACATTTTAGCTGTAAAGCTTTAGGTTGGTCTCTCAATTCCTCTGAGCCTTAGTTTTCTCATCAATAATTTAAAAAGTTGCATAAAGCTTTAAATTAACAGAGCACTTTCAT